ACTGTGGATGTAAGGCTGTGGTTCTGGTCTTTCGAATGTCCAACAGTTTACATATTTCTTGGAACAGGTTGGACTCAAAATTTCTGCCCTGGTCCGAATGCAGCTCCAATGGGACACCGAATCGACATATCCATTCCTTTACCAGGACGTCAGCGACGGTGAAGGCTTCCTGGTTGGGCAGGGCATAGGCTTCTGCCCACTTGCTGAAGTAGTCCATGGCTACCAGAATGTATTTGTTCTCATGGTCGGACTCTGGGAACGGGCCGGCAATATCGATGGCGATTCTCTCGAAAGGACTACCCACGTTATACTGGCGCATTGGGGCTTTCGGTCGTATCCGAGGTCCGTTACTGGCAACGCATACAGCACTCTTTCTGCAGCAGTCCTTGACGTCGGCTTGACAATTAACCAAGTGAAACCGTTGTCTTACTTTCTGGAGGGTCTTCGTTACTCCCAGATGTCCTCCAGTGACTCCATCATGGATTTCTTTAAGCACCTCCGTCGTCTGCTCCTGGGTACCACTGTCTGGCGCCTTTCTTCTGCACCGTCTTCAGACTCCAACACCCGCTTCAGGTAAGGGAGTTCCATTGTGCCCAGTAAGACTTAACCGCTGGCGAATAACCTGATACCTCCTGCCACGATGGTCTTCGATTACTTTTCTTCCATCCGATGACTAAACCAAGATCTGGGTCTTCTTCTTGGTCTTCCTTGATCTTATTATCCTCCCAGTTGTCTTCTACAGCTCTAGTTCGACAAATGGCCGCTTCCTTCTCTTCTGCTCGTCGGCAATGTGAGCAGTCATCGGGGCATGGTCTCCGTGACAGGGCATCTGCGTTTTTATGGCTAGTCCCAGCTCGATGTTCTATTTCGAAGTCAAATTCTTGAAGTCATTCAATCCAGCGTGCTACTTGACCCTCGGGATTTTTAAACTGCAGCAGCCATTTGAGAGCTGCATGGTCCGTTCTCAACAAAAATCTTCTTCCATACACGTATGTGTAGAAATGAACTAGCCAATAACTTTCTCTTATTCATCCTGGATCTGAGAAAAGACTGCTCCAAGTCTCACGTTGCTGGCGTCCGTATCTAAAATGAACTTTCCGTCCGGTAGGGGATAGCTCAAAACAGGAGCGTTGATCAAAGCTCTTTTCAATTTCTTGAATGAGTCTTCGCATTCCTCAGACCACTGGAGCTGGATCTGCCCTTCTGTGAGTCGGATCAATGGTTTGGCGATGTTGGCAAACCCTAGCACATATCTGCGGTAGAAGGTGCATAAACCAAGGAAGCTTCGAAGCTGATGTATGTCTTTTGGAATGGACCAATCCTTAACTGCTTTGATCTTTTGTTCGTCTACCGCCACTCCTTCCCCAGAGACAAGGTAACGGACTTCTTTCTGCAACAGATGGCATTTCTTGGGACTGAGTTTCAATCCAGAACTCCTCAGACGCATGAATACCTCCGCCAGATTTTTCAAGTGATCGTCGAACGATTTTCCAACCTCGATTATATCGTCGAGATACACTAGACACGTNTCCTGATTTGGTGTTGATTCTTTGAAAGCTGAACATTTGCTACGCACATGTCCAATTTTTCCAGAGTTCCAGCATCTTATTTGTTTCCTCTCAGGCAACACTTCTTTCATTACTTTTCTGATGGTGGCCTAAATATCTGCAGGCACTTGTCCATCTTCCTCGATAGCTCGAACTTTGCTCTGGCTCTTGCAGGATTACTTTGCAGCCTCAAACTCCAGAGCGCTTGCCAGTGCATCCACGAGATGTTTGGGATGAGCTAGCTTCAAGGTCTGCCTCGTTTCTTGGTTGCAAAGTCCAAAAATGTAATGTAGCTAACCGCTCCATTACATTTTTCGGTATAGCAGGATATGCCAGACCAACCAATCGAGCAATGTCGGCTTCGAACTCCTGTAGAAATTCTCCTGATTTCTGACAGCGGTTCTTCAGCTGTGAATGGTAAACGTGCTCTAGGTGTGCCTGTCCATACCGTAGCTCAAGATGTTTAATAAGTTGGTCGTAGTCTTCCTGTTCCTGGGCCGTGAGGGTTTGCAGAATATTCGTTGTTTCTCCACGCAACGCCAATGTTAATGCTACTGCCTTCTCTCCTGCATTCCATCCATTCGCTCTGGCCGCAGCTTCAAATTGTCGGCGATCATTTTCCCAAGGAGTTTTTCCGTCGAACTGGGGCGGCTTCAGGGATAGTTTTCCTGGTTCAGGACTGACTTTGACATCTTTCAGTTCCGGAATGGAGTTTTCGGAAACATTTTCTGTGGTCTGTGGTGTTTTCTGATGGTTTGGTTTTGCAAATTACTAATTGTTTCCTTCATCTTGCTGATTTCTGCCTGAACTCTGCTTTCGATTTCCTCTGTTCACTTCCTTCCTGATTTTATCTATCTCTATCTCGATGGTTTCCATCCTTTCTTCGA